TTCCTTCTTTGTTTAGAGTAAATGTTCCGCAAAAGATACTATTATTTTATGAGTATCAACATTTGAATGATTTATATGAATTAGTAAAAAATCATTTATATGAGTAATATGTCCACACAATCTTTGGTTGAAAGACAAAGGCAAAACATGCAAATTGATTTGATAATGACGGATTCTTTGTCTTCCTTGAAAAAACAAAATAAAATAAAAACTTGTATTCCACGCACCACATTTTTTTTGTGTGGAAAATAACCATCTCCAATCCTTTTCTCCTGCTCAGATGCAACAAAACGTATTCAGTTCCCTTCACATGCTAAACAACTCAAGTACAAACCTTTTTCTATTGAGACTTGTATCATTAAATAAATGAATATATGTCGAACTATTTAGTTGAGAAGTGAAGAATCCCTACTTAATTGTGGAGTCTTTTTTTTTGTTGGGGCTTAAATGGCAAGCGTCGTCTTAGGAAGAAAAAGAGGAAGAAAATGTGGTAAGCATTGAGTAGGTATTAACTTAACCTTCAAAGTTTGGTGGGTAGTTATAATGGATACAACTTCTGTTTCATTCTTGAGATGAAGCCAAATGTGCAAATGGACGAAGAGTGTTTATTAACCAAGCGTGTTTGTTGGTGAAAATCCAGCATTATGAATTATTTTATTCTGTTGCTATGATTATTTACACGTGAAGATATAAAATAAGATACGCTTACTGTCCCTCTGAAGAGTGTTACTAGGCTCTTTTAACTAGACATACTGTTCTGAATATTTTATCTTTTTCTTTTTTTTTTAAACTTAGATCATAAGCTTCGTGGCAAAGTGTGGCGTAGCTCACATGGTCACCAGCAATCGTTACAAGTCAATGGATTGAGGGGGGCAGGATAGAAATATAAGAAGGAAAATGGTGAAGTAACTACAATATAATCATGGAAAATTGAAGAATTTTCAAATAACGGAGGAGAATATCATAGCCATAGGTATATAAGCACGATGATATATATGAATATACTGATTCCTGGTTCTTTTGTTCATAGGCAGTGAAGGCTTCCATTTTGCACCAAGATTTCACCTGAAAATTCAACCCAAGAACCAAATTCAAGTCGAGTTTTGAGAACAAGTGGCAATACTATATATCAGGATCCCATATAAACCTCATTAATCAATTTGTGTAGTACTGAGATGCTTTCTGTATTTAAGAATTAAAAAAATGCATATGGAACCCTATGTTCTCAACCAATCATTATTTTCTAGTAAACGCAAATCTGAATACTGTAACTGTTCTTCAAAAAATAATTTGGTGTCAACCTCAATATTATTGTTTATGAAATTATTTTACCAGTAGTTGCTCAACCAAAAGAAAAAAAAGGAAAAAAAGAAGAGGCATTATTATTAATTTACCAGTGCGGCCCTAACATGAGAAGAATGAAAAAGCCTTTGCAGACACAAAAGCTTTTCCCATACCTGCAGATGAGTTTCACAAAGAAAGGAGGATTAAAAATAGAGTTGATTTTGCATTTGGACCCACACAGTTCATGGAACTTGTGCTGAACCACAACGCACTCTTCATTGCAGAAAGAACGTTGTTCTTTCCTAATCCCCTATGAAAATTGAAAATGCATAAATAAATGAATAAGAAAGAAAAAAATATTCAACAATTAAGAACTAACCACATGTTAAAGTAGAAGGAATAACTTCCATTGTGGAAGAAAAAATTTTAAGAATAAAAACTCACGAAAGCGAATAAGCCATTCAATCTTCAATAACGTATCTATTCCTCCTTGCACCAAAAGCAATTCTCTGTACAAGAAAATGAGAAGATAATAGTTAACATAAGCTCAGCATATTCACTAAAGGGAAAAAAAACATATCAGTTTTGGATATTAACTGAAAAAATCTGGGAGTACGCCTTAAGGCCTGTTAAGAATTTTATGTAGGTTGGCTTCATGGACTGACTGCTAGGGACCGATCTGATAGAGGGAACAAGGTATTCTGCAACCTGTTGGTAGTAAAAACAACAACAGCAACAAATTTAGAGAAGCAACACCCTTTAGTTACAAATTGGGCTTGGATTGCTCATTGAGTCAATTGTATGCTGATCATAATCATACTTCCTTTAAATAGAAAATTTCAAATGAAAACCACAAAAGAGAAACATTAAAGAGCAAAATGCTCAGTTCCAATATTTTTCATTCCGTAAATTATGCTTTTGACATACATTTTTTTCTTCTACAAAATGGTTATACTTTGAAACAAACTCATTGGGTACCTAACTCAAATTGCAGTCCTTTCGTGTGAGGATTTGGACCATAACCAACTACATCAGAACACTAAACAGGCACATAAATCTGGAATCCTAGATACGAACACAAGTCTACAATCATAACACTTATTTTTCTCAAAAAAAAAAAAAAAAATCATAACACTTATCTTACCAGTCACCACTTATTATAGCAATTAACATGTCAGTGTTCGCGTGGAAAACTGTATCTTTCTTCATTAATGAGATAATTGTCATCTTGGATTACAAAGATCCGGTCTTTTATAGATCCGGTTACAACTAAATCAAAGAAAGAAGAAAAAAAGTAAAAATTACAACTTTCCTCTTGTGAACAAATCGCGAGCTCCTGTTTTGCGGCCGCTCGCTTGTGTGGGTTCTTTGCCTGCGCCGGGGTTGTTTGCCGTGGACCACCGCGCGATCTAGATCCGGTCGGATCTACACGATTATGCGGGTATTATTCCACGAAGGGAATAATAGCCGGGAGGGATTAATCCACCAAGGGAATAATCGCTCGGATCTCGAGATCTAAGACCAAGCTTAGATCTGGAGTGTGATCTCGTGTAGATCTCAGATCTGTTCTTTCTTCCTCTCGAGATCCTGCCTTTTCTGACGTGGATGGTCGCCGAGGATCAGATCTGAATGGTGCAAGTCTTCTGGTCTTCAAGCTCCGAGTTCACTCTTCAATCCGGCAGAGTTTCGGCTCTTGAAAGTTCGACCTCCGAAAATGAACATCTCTAGGCCTATTTATAGGCTCTCAGGACAGTGGCTGCAAAAAGGGAATTGTCGGCCACCTCGGGCCACTGTCGGCCACCTCGGG